TTGAGCGATATCAATAGAAGCGTCATAATATAGACTACATTTATCGATATTATGACATTCCTGATATCCCGTAGCGAGCTGGGTGAGGGTGGGTGAAGGTCGGCTGCTTTTCGAATAAATTAACCCACAACAAATACGACAGGTGACACTGCTAACCACTCTGTCACCTCTAACATGACGTTAAAATAAACAGCAACGCGTCTCTATTCTGTACACGGCAAAACTTTACACGACGGACGCTACAGTAGAAACAATATGCGTTTAATTAGACGGCGTACATAAGAGAATATTTACAGGCCTATCTATACGCGGCCACGAGGGACTGTCTGATATATCACACTGTTTAAATATCTAGCACACGGCGAAAAGTTAGTGTTGCAAGGGCGTCTCACATTCCCACACACGCTCTTGCACTCCCTTTCTTTCTCTCTCTCACTCCTCACTTCCTCTCTGTCGTTCTCTCTCTCTCTCTCACTCCCCGCACGCTCGCTCTCTCCACCATTATCGCTCTCGCCCTCTCCCTTTCGGTTGCTCTCGCTCGCCCTCTCGTTCTCTCATTTGCTATCTCACCTTCTGTCTATCTCTCGCTATATCCTTTTCACACCATTGAACGATACGCGTGCTATATTTGTCACTACACAATCTGCTAAACTATTTCGCTTGCTAAATAGCTGAGGTCTAAAAACCAAACTCAACGACTTGGCATTTGAGTAACGATGTACACATGGTAGCTAAACAATGCGATGGTAATTAGTGCTTCTGTCCTGTCCTCTCCTGTTCTATGTCTCTTGTCCTCTCCTGTTTGGGTCTCCTGTCCTGTCGTGGGTCTCCTGTCCTGTCCTGGGCCTCCTCTCCTGTTCTATATCCCCTGTCCTGTCGTGGGTCTCCTATCCTGCCCTGGCTTGTCCTCCCCTGTCCTGTCCTGGGCCTCCTCTCCTGTTCTATGTCCCCTGTCCTGTCCTGGGTCTCTCCTGTCCTGGCCTGTCCTGTCCTGGGCCTCCTCTCCCGTTCTAGGTCTCCTGTCCTGTCATGGGTCTCCTGTCCTGGCCTGTCCTGTCCTCTCCTGTCTGGGTCTCCTGTCCTGTCCTGGGCCTCCTTTCCTATTCTAGGTCTCCTGTCTTATCCGGGGTCCCTTGTCCTGTAACAACATCAAGGACAAAACGGTAACAATTACCCTCTAGAGGCATACATAATTTTAACAGTGCGCAAAATTATCGCTATTTGCCGGCGGCCGCAAACCACCTCAACCCCCCTATAATCAGTCCACTTCGCCTATTCAAAATTTTGTCTATCTTGCCTTTATATCAACAATATTTATCAATTTCCTGATGTTTTTACTTAGTGACTACTAAGAAGTAAATCATGTTCCAGCAATTCCTGTTAAACAAGTAGAACTCCACCGATAGCCAGGAAATACTGAAGTACTACGAGTATGCCTAATAAACACAAAGCTAAAAAGTACTTTTATTAATAATGGAATAAATTGAACAAAATCAAGGGCCTGTTCAATTTGTCTAAGGGCCTGTTTGAAATTTTGGGTGGGCCTGTTCACATTTTGGCTAATGTCATGCCCTGTTTTAAGTATGTTAAACATTAAAATATCTCAACCGCGGTCAAATCATATGTAAGAAGGCCTCTGATTGGGACAAAGTGCAATAATTTATCCGCGGTTAAATTATGTGTAACAAAGCTCGTAAATTTCTATAAATCGTCTAGCTATGTATTGGATTAAGATAGGGATATGGGTAGTGATCTTAAGTTTGTTTTAACGGTGAGAAATAAGGGAATAGAATGCCGATTAGACATATTATTTATAACGTTGAATACTTGTGAAGTTAGGTTGGTGAAGCATAAGGCTAAGCAGCAATGCAAACAGATATTACATACTAGTAGTAGTAGTAGCAGGAGTAAGATAATATAGGATCCTATATTATCTTACTCCTGGTAGTAGTAGTCTTTCAATGGTGCCGGTAGGTACAGAAAACTAACTTAACTGGGCAATCCATGTTGGCTTGGCTGTAGTAGGGAAACCATTCTCCGCTTTGGCTCTACGATTCTTTTCCATCCATCCGATCTCGGATTCCATGGTTTCCGGATTCGATGAGTCTCCGCTGATCATCGGATTGATTCCGGCTTTATTGTATCTAGCGTATGCTGGCAGAAATTTCCACTTACAGCTTACTTTTAGCATTACGGGTAATAAGTACTAAGCCATGTAAGTATAGTAAAGTAACGCTTTTTTAAGGTCTTCATTTTGGCATTAACTTGCCCCGGGTTTCGAATAAACCCGTTTTCCTTTAGAAAGTCACCAATCCGGCGGATGTCTTCGAATCTCGGGACGTATTGTCTAAACAGGTTTGGATATCTCCTCGCGTTCAACATAACTTCACCGGTAATTGATTGAACAAAATTCATATCAACGTGGTCTACTGAGTACCGTAACAGAAACGGAAATAAACGACCAAATATAAACCGTCCAATGCTGTAAAATCTGGATTGAAACTGCAGTATTGTAACCGTGTCAAATCAAAAGGGATGCCGTATACAGGTGCCCGGATGTAAGCACGCATTCACTATTGCCGCCTATCGCAGCGTTAAGGAACTATGTGCTATCTCGGGTTAACACCGTCAATACGACGCTATCCCGAGACAGATCTTAACTCGGGTTAGCTTACCCCCCCCCTCACATCACGAGGTTAAGCTAACCCGAGTTAAGGCTTAACCCTGGTTATCTTAACCCGAGATAAGCCCTCGTGTGGACGCTTATCCCGGAATAAAAATCTAGTGTTTGTTATACATTGTGATTGTCCAGCCGAGTAATAAAGTCACGACATGACCACATTGTTACATATTTATTAAAAAAGATACATTTTCATTCGATAAACATTGTTGTACAAACGACGATTCCGTACATGAAACGTGAAGGAGAGTAAAAGCGTGCGTTTCTACGCATGTATGAGTCGCACGGTTCAGACCAGGCTTATAGGAAACAAAACAACGTACGTGTTATAAAATACAGCCTCGGTCTGTCTGTTCCCGACTCCTTATTGCTTGTGCTGCACATGAAGTGGTCTTCCCTACCCCTCACCCACACACACGCACCCACACACGCACGCGCGCGAGGGACACACATACACACGCACGCAGCACACACACACACACACACACACACACACACACACACACGTACGCGCACATCTAGTGTATCTTTCTCTCGTGAGCCTCTGACATCTATCATGACACATCATTTATCTCTTTACATCATGGTACTCATTTACATCATTACATACATGCTGTCGCTCCCCCCTCCACCCCCTAGCGCAACCTTTATCCTTCCTTATACGGTCTATACCTGACGTATCATTCCCATTCTGGTTCCGTGAGGGTGAAACTAACAAACGCTAAACTCGCTGCTGAGCGGGTTTAGAATCTCGACAAACCCACACGTATCGGCATGAACTAACACATGCACGCATGCACGCACGCTCGAAATTCATCAGAAATTTTGATTTCTCTCAATACACTCTACACCATAACGTCCGAAATCGGGTTAATATATATATATATATATATATATATATATACACGGATGTTTCCATATAAGATGCAGACGAACTTAGTGTAAGATAAAGGTGTCGTACGTGAACATTTTACCGTTATTCTTTGACAATGTCAGTCCAATGAGTGAGCCTCAGATGGGACTAATGAATACACGTGACGGCGTGGGAACCACCTTTCGTTCCTACACCGATGATGCTTACCGACTTAACAAATACGGAGCACGACAACCATTGTTGTCGCATCCGTAACCATGACAACAACGCATCTTCCACGCGCGACACGCGAGAGAGCCAGCGCCACCGTCACACCAGAAACGGCTGCAGATCCAGCCTGCAAAATTGTCGCGCATGCGCTCTCCAACCCGCACGTTGGCGCCAAATGTAGTTTATATCACAAGCTAAATATCGCGAACGATCCTTCAGCAATAACGATGAATCATCAACACATTAACAATACTAACAATGTGGATCGCCATGCAATGTTTTCTCAGAATCGAGCGAGAATTAAACTCCAAATGCGGAGCAGCAGTGAAAACCTTACAAGCACATATTAAACGAGTTTTCGATCCGGATTCGTTTTAATTACGTACTCAGGAGCAAAAAGAGAATAAACGTATTCGGTGGTAACCGGACATCCGAGATTTCGTTACGACTCATTTATTACGGCTCGCCGATCTCATCAATGACGATGAGTAACACGTGATCAATGACGATGAGTAACACGTGATCAATGACGATGAGTAACACGTGATCAATGACGATGAGTAACACGTGATATATGGGATCAAACAT